CCCCGCTCTGACTGTAGAAGGACTGCCTCAAGTGGTTCTGCAACAGAACAGAACAGAACAGAACAGAACAGAATAGAATAGAATATTTTGGTTGGAAAGGTCGTCATCTAGTCCAACTGCCTGACCAATTCAGGGCTGACCAAGTTAAAGCATGTTCATAAGGGCATTGTCCAAATGCCTCTTAAACACTGACAGGCTTGGGGCATCAACCACCTCTGGGAAGCCTGTTCCAGTGTCTGACCACCCTCTCGGTAAAGAAATGTTTCCTAATGTCCAGTCTGAACCCACCCTTATGCAGCTTTGAACCATTCCCGTGCATCACTGGATACCAGGGAGAAGAGAGCAGCACCTCCCTCTCCACTTCCCCTCCTCAGGAAGCTGTAGAGAGCCATGAGGTTGATCCTCAGCCTCCTTTTCTCCAAACCAGACAAGCCCAAAGTCCTTGGCTGCTCCTCATAGGACATTCCTTCCAGCCCTTCCACCAGCTTTGTTGACCTCCTCTGGACACTTTCGAGTACCTTAAGGTCCTTCTTATATTGTGGGGTCCCAAACTGCACAGAGTACTCAAGGTGAGGCCACACCAACACTGAATCCCCTCTTTGGACCGGCTGGTCATGCTGCGTTTGATGCACCCCAGGACGCGGTTTGCCGTCTTGGCTGCCAGGGCACGCTGCTGGCTCACATCGAGCCTGCTTTCACCCAGCACCCCCAGATCCCTTTCTGCAGGGCTGCTCTCCAGCCACTCCTCTCCCAGTTTATACCTGTGGCTGGGGTTACTCCATCCCAGGTGCAGAATCTGGCATTTGGACTTGTTAAATTTCATCCCATGAATCATTGCCCAACGCTCCCATCTATCTAGATCCTTCCGCAAGGCTGCCATTGCGCTAGCAGCCCGTAAGAGAAAGGGCACTGCGGTACTGTTTGTAAAACTGGAATGACAGTGTATTCCAGATCATGGCTGATTAATATAACAACAGCATTACGGTAATTATGGTGCTATTTTCCCTCTCAACATCTTGCTCGTTTGCTTGTCTCTTGTCAGCACAGCGCATCAAGAAGTTTTCGTGAGCTGTCCATGGTGTCTCCTACCGTGTTTTCTCTTGGAGCTTTCTTTTGTCTAGAATGTATCTGTTGGCAAGAATAGCGAAAGTTACTTATTTTGATTGCATTTTTTCATCATGATAGTACCCGTTTGTCTAGTTTTATAAAATACCTATAAAGTTCCTTGGGTTTTCTTTATTTAGTTTAAAACTAAAATCTGTATCAACTCTGTAGTCTTCTGGTTCAAATCTTTTCCTGAAACGCACGCGAGCCATATTAAACGGCATCGTATCTAAACCAGGAAATCAAGATGCTTTGT